GCCACTTTCTTCTGGCCTGCCAAGTTTCTACTGGAAAATCCTGCTAGCCTTATGGGTTTTCTTTTATAAGTTACTGATTTCTTTTGTCTTGTTGCTTTTACATTTTTTTCTTTATCACTGTACTTTTCAAATTTAATTACAATATGTATTGGTGTGGGTCTGCTTTTGTTTATTTTTATGGGAGTTCTTTGTGCCTCCTGGATCTGGATATCTTTTTCCTTCTACAGATTAAGGAAGTTTTCAGCTATTGTTTCTTCAAATAAATTTTCTGCCCCCTTTTCACTCTCTTCTTCTTTTGAGACTTCTAGAATATGAATGTTATTATGTTTGATGGAGTCACTGAGTTCTCTAAGTCTATTCTTGTTGTTTTTTTTTTAATAATTCTTTTCTCTCTTTTGTTCAGCCTGATTACTTTCCATTACTCTCTCTTCTAGATCACTAATTCATTCCTCTGCTTGTTTAATCCTACTATTCATTACATCAAGCATGTTTCTTATTTCATTTATTGAGGCTTTTATCTCTGCTGTTATTCTTTTTTTTTTTTTAATTTTTTTAACGTTTATTTATTTTTGAGACAGAGAGAGACAGAGCATGAACGGGGGAGGGGCAGAGAGAGAGGGAGACACAGAACCAGAAGCAGGCTCCAGGCTCTGAGCCATCAGCCCAGAGCCCGATGCGGAGCTCGAACTCACGGAACGTGAGATCGTGACCTGAGCTGAAATCAGACGCTTAACCGACTGAGCCACCCAGGCGCCCCTCTGCTGTGTTATTCTTTATCTCTGCATTAAGGGTCTCACTCATGTCTTCCAGTCTTTTCTCAAGTCCAGTGAATATTCCTTGTGGTCATTGCTTTAAATTCTCTATCAAGCATTTTACTTAAATTAGAGGACTTCTAACAAGTGCATCCTCTTGCCAGGCAGAGCTGGCTGTTTGTTGGCCTTAGATGTCCTCTGACAAGACTTAAGGCCTTTCTAAGCCTGATGCAGTTGCTTCAGGAAACCTACATGAGAAGTGAGATTTGCAATGAATAGGGTTTTTTTCTATAGAACACTGACCCAGCTGGACATCCCTACCACTTTTGCCCAACAGTCCTAAGAATGGCAACATCATTGTTTGTTGATCATTATTACAATGAAAGGTTTAAATCCCTAATTATTACTCATTCTTTGGAGCTGAGATAGAGGCCTGGGGGCTGTAAAATTAAGTTTGTTTGATTGCTTGTTTGATTAGCCATTTGTATACCCAAATGCCCACTTATTAAGAAGGTATATTTCTGAGGATACTGCTTATCTTCCTAGTACTTGCAAAAGGTAAGAGCTGTAACATAGTAGCATTTTCTTTACACCCAACAAATGAGAATGTTGGCATTTCTAGAAAAGAGTGAGGGAAGAGAATGTGACCATCCAAGTTCTTGTGAGTTAAGTCTCCCTTGGTCTAACTTGAGGAATGAAAATGTGGATCTTGGAAGACAGAGTTTGTAAAGACAGTGTGCCCATACCCATACCCGGAAACCCAATGAGTGGGTTATTACAGTGCTGAAGGGGTAGTAGGGTCACTTTGAGCCATAGGGGTAGGACACCAATGTGGATGAAACAATGAGAATGGAGTATTTCTTTTTATTTATTTATTTATTTTATTTATTTTTGAGAGAGAGAGACACAGACAGAGTATGAGCAGGGGAGGGGCAGAGAGAGGGAGACACAGAATCCGAAGCAGGCTCCAGGCTCTGAGCAGTCAGCACAGAGCCCGACGCGGGGCTCGAACCCATGGACTGTGAGATCATGACCTGAGCTGAAGTCTGACGCTCAACTGACCAAACCACCCAGGCGCACCTGGACAGAAGTATTTCTGAGGCCAAATTTATTTAGTAAAAGATATGTTGCCTTTCTTTAGTCAGATGTTGGCCTGGCTGCTACTTACCAGTGACCCTTGTCAATTATTCATGTGTTTCCACTATTCCTCCTTGCTGAAAACCCCCTGGAGAGAAACTATAAAGTCTTCCTAATGTCTCTTTGCTGTTTGTTTTCCTGTGTTTCCTCTGTGTTTTGGTTCATCTCAAGTTCAAGAATGATGTCTACATTTTTCTAGGAAATTGTAGCTTTTCTAAAACAAGTGATAAGCTGTGAATGGCAGAGGGAGAGGAGATAATTTTGGCTACGAACCACTGGAACCTTCTTAATGAGTAGAGTGAAAAAGATGAGGAATTTAGATTTAGAGGTAACTATAAGAAGGAATGCCAATTCTTTGTCATCTGAAATTTTTTTCACGTCATTTTATTGATAGCCAGCTGTGAATTAAAAGAAAACAACAACCTATGTTCTTAATTATTATGCTACACCCCCCTTAACGAAGACCAATATCTTCAGATTACTTCATTCTTAAGGTTTAACTTGATTATTTCTTTTTTTTTAATGTGTTTTTATTTTTGAGACACAGAGAGAGAGAGAGAAAGAGAGAGAGAGAGAGAGAAAGCACAAGGGGGGAGGGGAAGAGAGAGAGAGAGGGAGACACAGAATCTGAAGCAGGCTTCAGGCTCTGAGCTGTCAGCACAGAGCCTGATGCGGGGCTTGAACTCACAAACCGCGAGATCATGACCTGAGTGGAAGTCAGACGCTTAACCAACTGAGCCACCCAAATGCCCCTAACTTGATTATTTCTTTACAATCTTCTTCATGTTTACATATTGAGGGTTAAGTTCAAAAATATGAGATCAAGGGCTTAAAAGCAAACACATAAAGTGAAAATCCAGGAGTGAAAATTTTCTGAATCTGTTTCATGAATTTACTTACCAGCTATGGCTCGACATCAGTTTCTGAAGTCAGAGCCATGTTCAAATCCCTGCCACACTAACTCTAAGGACTGTGTCCTTGGAAAAGTTACTTAAACTTTCTGTGTCCTATTTTCCTCATGTAGAAAATGAAACTAACAATCCCAAATTTGTAAGCATATAAAATTAGCAATAAAGTGACCACTAAAACAGAAACCTTAATCAATTTCTCATTTCCTGAAGATTCTATCCTATCTCTCTGCCTCACTTTATCACCAAATTTACTGAAAGATTTGTCTTCATATGTTTTGCCCATTTCCTTCCCTCTTCATCTCTTCTTCAACCTACTTCAATCTGTTTTCTGCTCCAAACCTGAACACAATGAAGCGTAAGTAAATATTTGGGGAATGTATACTCCTTAAAATGGGAGCTCCCATTGCGGTCATCATCATCACCATCAAGCACCAGATGGTTTCTTAAAGAAATACTCTTTCCTCTTCAAATCATAGTCAGTTGAGAATCAGGATATTTTTATTTATTTATTTATTTTGAGAGAGAGAGAAAGAGAGAGCGCCAGGGAGGGTAGAGAGAGAGGGAGAGAAAGAATCCCAAGCAGGCTCCACACTGTCAGCACAGAGCCCAATGTGGAGCTCAAATCCACGAACCATGAGATCATGACCTGAGCCAAAGTCAAGAGTTGGACACTTAACTGACTGAACCACCCAGGAGCCCCAAGAATCAGGATCTTTAAATCTGCTTGGCTTAGGAAAGTTCTATGAATTTTTTTTTTTTATTTAACACAAGCACACTCAGTATTTTCATTGCTCTAAGACAGAGACAACAATATCTAAGGATGTCAGAGAATGGGTTTGTCTCCTTGCTTTTTATAGTGATCTCCTTTCTTATTCTGTAAATAATGTGTATATGTGTGTTATTCCCTGTTGCTACATAAAAAATTATCCTAAAACTTGACAGCTGAAACAAGCATTAATCTCACAGAATCAGGGAAGAGTGTGGCTGTGTCCTCTGGATCAGGGTCTCTCACAAGGCTGCTGTCAAGGTGCAGTTATCTCAAGGCTCAACTTAGGGGAGGACCTGCTTCAAGCTCATCATGGGCCTGTTGGCAGACTTCTGGTTCTTGCTGGCTGTTGACTGGAAACATCAATTCCTTGCCACATGGGCCGTTCTGTAGGGCTACTCACAACATAGTAACTTGCTCCCCCCAGGGCCAGGGCTCTGAGAAGAATAAGAGATGATGATCAAGAAGGAAGTGACATTCATTTTGTAACCTAATCTCAGAAGGGATACTCCATCACTTTTGTGGTATTCTATTCATTAGAAGCAAGTTATTAGATCTATCCCACGCTCAAAGAGAGAGAATTGCACAATGGCATGAATAGGACTGTTGGGAGCCGTCTTAGGTAGAGCTGCTTACCACAAAGTATGACTTTGTTCTCCCTTAGCAAAAGCACAGCTTTCATTTGATTCTTTTAAACCCCTTCTCTTTTGGGAATCATGGGTTCCATATCCATCAGGTCTTCAATGCCTTGCCATACTTTTTTTTTTTTTTTTTTTTTTTTTTTTTTTTTTTTTTCAAAAAAAGTAAGAGGGGGATGTGACACGTTCTGCTACAAATAGCTCCCAATATAATGGCAACTTTGGTTGTCATCACATGTTGTGCATTGATACTGAATTACGAAGAGGACTCCAATGACTCCTAGTGGTTTTCTGAGCATCAGTTTCCTAATGACTGACTTTATAGCTTCCTAAAGAATATATTAAAAACAGAACTCTAGAGATTATACATACAGAAGCTGTATATTTAGACCTTGAGTTTCTTTTCCTCCCTGTAGCCCATCACCCACTTTGCACAGAGGTTTTAGTGCTAATTTGAGATCATTCTGAAACTTTATCTGCTTTATCATAAAATGCATATCCAACATTTTCTATCTAATTTGGTGGTAAACGTTTCAGGAACACTTAAGTCACCTCTGAATTAACTGAATCATCTGTAATTTCTTATGCCCTCACTCTCTTACCTCACATGCCATAAGAAGAAAGAAAGAAGAACCTGTATTTAGGAGCGGCTTATGGAAAAATCTTAGAAAATAAACAGATACAGTGTTATAATTTCAAGTAGAGTTGTGAATGCAGAATTTTGTAAAGGAAAAACTAAAAAGTAGACAAACATTCATATAAATAGTATCTTCACCTTTTGTTTTCTTTTGTGCAGATCGTTTCCCAGAGAAAACTGTCCAAATCCTTGTTGAAGCATGGGAACACAGCAGGGAAATCCTCCATCACGGTAAGCCCTCCCTTAGCAGCTCTCTGTCTTGGTGCTTAGATGGTGCTCGCTGGTCCAAACCTGCAGTGAGAAGCAGACTCTCTGCCCATTGGGGTTGATGCCACAACTGCCCAGCTGTCCAAGTCACCCCCATCCTTCTTGTTCCTTTTTTCTTAGTTATCCTTCTTGCCCGTATAATTTTGACCCTTCCACCCCTAGGAAAAAGGAATAGAATAAGGATTTGAAAGTGAGGCCATTCACTTTTATTAAGCACTTCTGCAGTTAATATATAGGTTTTAGTGGAGGACAAAAATGGAGTTGTCAATGACATTAAGAATATAGAATTGTCTGGGGTTTTCAAATGATCAAACTACCTATCCCTGCTTCTCATTTTTTTTGAGAATTAAAAATCTGCTCTGATAATGGTTAGTCCAAGGTTAGATTTGTTGCCTAAGGACCAGAGAACCCAGCATTTAGCCCTCCTCTTTAATATAATAGTTTGGATTTATGTTATCGTTTTTAGTGGCCATTAACCACATGTGATTATTTAAACTTAAATAAAACTATTCAAAATTAAATAAAATATCCATACCTTACACTAACCATGTATCAAGTGTTCATATATATCATAGCCAATATTTACATGTGGCTATGAATCTGGGGAGGGAAACAGAGATTCAGGAGGCACGAAGATACCCCAACAAACTTAAGCCAAGGAGGTCCACACCAAGACACATAGTAATTAAAATGGAAAAAATAGGGATAAAGAAAGAATTTTAAAGGTTGCAAGAAAAGACAGTTACATATGAAAGAAACACCATAAGGCTATCAGCTGATTTTTCAGCAGAAACATTGTAGACCAGAAGGGAGTAGCATAATATATTCAAAGTGCTGAAAGGGAAAAATTTGCAGCCAGGAATACTCTATCTAGCAGGGCTACCATTCAGAATAGGAGAGATAAAGAGTTTCCCAGACAAATAAAAATTAAAAGAATTCATGACCACTAAACCAGCCCTACAAGAAATGTTAAGGGGGATTCTCTGAGTGCAAAATAAAACCCATAAGTAAGAGTAAGAAAAATAGCACAAAAGCCGAAAAATTAAGTGTGTCTGTAAAAAATCAGTCAAGAGAAGCACAAGATAAAAGGATATAAAATATAGTACCAAATATCTGAAATGTGGAGGGGAAAAGAATGAAGAATGAGTTCAAAATTAAGGGACCATTAGCGTGATATAGACTGCTATATGCAGAAGATGTTATATATAAACTGAATGGTAACCACAAATCAAAAAACAGTAATAGATATGCAAAAAAATAAAAAGTAAGGAATCCAAGTATTTTACTAGAGAAAATTAATCATGAGATAAAGAACAAGAGAATAAAGGAATAGAGAGGAACTATAAAAACAACCATAAAAAAAGTAACAAAATGGCAATAATTACTTTGAATGTAGATGTACCAAATACTCCAATCAAAAGACATAGAGTGACAGAATAGATTTAAAAAAAGAGAGAGAGAGAGACCCATCTATATTCTGCCTACAAGAGATTTATTTCATACCTAAAGACACATACAGACTCAAAGTGAAAGGATGGAGAAACATTTATCATGTAAGTGGAAGTAAAATGAAAGCCAGGGTAGCAATACTTATAGTGGAAAAAATAGATTTTAAAATAAAGGCTGTAACAAGGGACAAAAAAGGACACTTTAGAGTCATAAACAGTACAATCCAACAATCATGTCCACTCTCACCACAGTTATTTAACATAGCACTGGAAGTCCTAGCCACAGCAGTCAGACAAGAGGAATGAATAAAAGGCATCCAAATTGGTAAGGAAGAAGTAAAACTTCCACTATTTGCAGATGATGTGATACTCTATAAAGAAAACCCTAAACACTCCACCAAAAAGCTACTAGAACTGATCAATGAATTTAGTAAGATTGCAGGATACAAAATTAATGTACAGAAATCCATGGCATTTTTATATACAGAAATAAAACAACAGAAAGAGAAATTAAGAAAGCAATCCTATTTAGTATTGCACCAAAGATAATCAAATACCTAGGAATAAACTTAGCTAAGGAGGTGAAAGACCTGTACTCTGAAAACTATGAAATATTGATGAAAGAAATTGAACATGACACAAACGAGTGGAAAGATACTCCAATGTCATGAATCAGAAGAATAAATATTGTTAAAATATCTATACTACCTAAAGCAATCAGCACATTCAATGCAATCCCATCAAAATACCAACATTTTTCACAGAACTAGAATAAACAATCCTAAAATTCATATGGAACCATGGAAGACCCCAAATAGCCAAAAAAAACCTTGAAAAAGAAAAACAAAGGTGGAGGTGTCACAATTCCAGACTTCAAGTTATACTACAAAGCTTTAGTAATCAAAACAGTATGGTATTGGCATAAAAATAGTCACATAGAGCAATGCAATAGAATAGAAAGACCAGAAATATACCCACGTTTATATGGTCAATTAATCTTTGACAAAGGAAGAGAGAATATGCAATGAGAAAAAAGATGGCCTCTTAGACAAATGGTGTTGGGGAAATTGGATGGCTACATACAAAAGAATGAAACTGGACCACTGGCTTACACCATACAGAAAAATAAATTCAAAACAGATTAAGGACCTAAATGTAAGACCTAAAACTAATAATCCTAAAAGAACATAGGCAGTAATTTCTCCAACATTGGACATAGCAACTTTTTTCTAGATATTTCTCCTGAGTCAAGGGAAACAAAAGCAAAAATAAACTATGGAGACTACATCAAAATAAAATGCTTCTACACAGCAAAGGAAATAATCAACAAAACTAAAAGACATTCTAATGAATGGGAGAAGATATTTGCAAATGACATCTCTGATAAAGGGTTAGTATCCAAAATATATAAAGAACTTATACAACTCAACACCCTAAAAACAAATAATCCAATTAAAAATAGGCAGAGTACATGAACAAACAGTTCTCCAGAGAGGACATACAAATGACCAACAGACACATGAAAAGAGGCCCAATGTCACTCATCATCAGGGAAATGCAAATCAAAACTACAATGAGATATCACCTCATACATGTCAGAATGGCTAAAATCAAAAACACAAGAAACAAGTGTTGGTGACGATGTGGAGAGAAGCCTCATGCATTGTTGGTGGGAGTGCAAGCTTGTGTAGCCACTGTAGAAGAGTATAGGGGTTCCTCAAAAAGTTAAAAATGGAACTACCCTATGATCCATTAATTGCACTACTGGGTATTTACCCAAAGAATACAAAAACACTAATTTGAAGGGATACAAGCATCCCTATATTTATTGCTGCATTATTTACAATAGCCAAGATATGGAAACAGCTAAAGTATTCATCCATAGATGAATGGATAAAGAAGATGTGGTATCTATATATACAATGGAATATTATTCAGCCATAAAAAGAATGAAATCTTGCCATTGGCAAGAACATGGATGGAGCTAGAGAGTATAATGTTAAATGAAATAAGCCAATCAGAGAAAGGTAAATACCATATGATCTTACTTATATATGGAATTTAAGAAACAAAACAAGCAAAGGAAAAGATTTTTTTTTAAAGGAGAGAGAGACAAAATAAGAAATAGATTCTTAACTATAGAGAGCTGATGGTTACCAGAGGGGAGGTGGTATGGGGATGGGTGAAATAGGTGAGGGGGATTAAAGAGCAGTTATCATGATGAACACCAAGTAATATATAGAACTGTTGTATCATTGTACTATACACCTGCAACTAATATAACATGTTATGTGAAACAGCTGGAATTTTAAAAAAATTAATAAAAAAATAATTACACATGGCTATCAGTTACTGTATTGGACAGTGCAGATTACAGAACATTTCTGTCATCACATAGTGTTCAATTGGGCAATAGTGGAAGTATTTCTAAATAAAACCTTAAATTTTCAAAGTACTCTACTATTTGAAACTTTGGCATCTTGTTTTAGAGCCCTTGAGAAAGGTAGAGAAAGTGTTCTAATCATTTAGTTGTGGGGACAAAAGAAAAAGAAAAGGTAGAATGACTTACCAGGAGAATCTGAATTGCTAGGGAGGTAAATTGCCAGGAGGCAAACCTCCTGAGTTCCTTTGAACATTCCTTTTTAACTTGAAAGTGACTGATTCCCTTTTCAAAAATTTTAAGCCATTTTTTAAGGGAAAAATTCAAAAGGATTCCCTGTGATTTAAGTTATGACCATTCTCACAAGCACTTACTTGAGTTTGTTGCTTGAATATTTTAAATGATACATTCATGTCAAAGTTTTTTTTTTTAACTTCTTGGTTCAATTCCATTCAAATGATTCAAAGGGTCTTTGAAGACCCCATTGTTGCTCTAAAAAGCCATGAATCCAAAGGCTCACTTGCAAAGCCCACAGTCCCAGAGAAGCTTTGGGATATTAAATCCAGGTATGAGATTTACCTTTGTTCTTTCCCAGGAGAACAACCCCTCATCTTGCCATCTTTACTTCAAGACATCTTAGAGATCTTTTTCCTTCACTCATCTCAAAAATATTTAATCTCCTTCTTAATTTTAAATATTTAAATACTTCTCTTAATCTGGGATCCTTGGAGTAGAACAGTGGCTTCAACAGCTTCTGGAAAACACTTGAAAATATGTGAAAATTTTTTCCTTTAGGTGATTGCTGAAGAATTATCTGGCAATGATGACTATGTTGAACTTGCATTCAATGCACGGAAATTGGATGACAAGGTAAAGTGCTGGGTGTTAACCTAACTGAAGAAAGTAATAAGGCTAACATACAAAGTTTAATCAGATTTTCCCCTGAAGCTGTTTTCTCCCTTTCCCACATTATTAAACAGATCAAAGATTTCACAGAGGTCTGCAAAGTAAGACTTTCCCCAAATTTTAGAAGCAGTTCATGAGAAGTGGGAGGGACTATAATTAAAAGAAGACAATTTTGTTACACCTAGGCTTCATTTGTTCCCAAATGTCACAGGTCAATGTGCACAGATAAATATGGTTTAAGCCCATTGTTAGGGACATTTCATAAGAAAAAAGAAGACATGAAAGGGAGGAAAAGTGACTTTCGTTAAGCACCTATGTTTTCCAGGAACAGGGTTAAGAGCTTTTTTTTTTAAGTTTATTTATTTTGAGACACAGAGAGAGTGCATGTGAGGGGTGGGGAGGGGCAGAGAGAGGGGGACTGAAAAAATCCCAAGCAGTCTCCATGCTGTCAGCACAGAGACCGACTTGGGGCTCCATCTCACAAACCGAGAGATCATGATCTGAGCTGAAATCAAGAGTCAGATGCTTAACCAACTGAGCCACCTAGGCACCCCTAGAGCTTTTCATGCATTATAACATTTGATCATTCTTACAGCTCCCATGTAACAGGCATTATTAACTTTTGCTTTGCAGATGAGGAAACAGATTCAAAGATGAAATAACTTAAGGTCATTCCATGTGTTAGTCCAGATAATCCAAGAAACAGACACCAAGACAGGCTTAAATACCCAAGGATTTTATTAGGAAAATGCTTGTGTAGGGAACATAGGGAGGAAGTTTGCAGACTGCAATGCAAGTCTTACCATAACTAAAGGAGAGAGGGAGAGAGGGAGAGAAGAGCAGGTGGCAGTGTCCTAGAATGCCATTCAGTCTAAGGAAGGGTCAGCGAAGCCATCAGGGAGTCCTGGGGCCAATATTGACCAGCAGAAAAGTTTCATGTCTCCCATGCCTGCCTTAATATCCCCTACACATGCAGGCACTGGCTGGGAGCAGCCCATGGGAAGCCTGGCCTTGGTGCAAGTGCAGAGATGTATTTCAGGGCACAGCGGCTGGGGCCCTTGGTCAGTTACATTCCCTGTAGTGGGAGTTCTGCAAAGCAGTTTTCTTGGCCAACATATCCTGCTAGTAAATTGTAAAACTGAGGATTCATTTCCATGTCAGTTACATGGGAGTCTGACTCCCGTCTGTGTTCTTTCTATTGTATCTCACAATTTTTACCCAATCATAAACCATGTTAGTCTTGTATATACAGAAAAAGTTCCTTAGTTTCCACCCATCAAAAAGGGTGGGGGGGTGTCCTTTCCAACCTCACCATATTTTTATGATCTCCCTCCAACCTTATCTTTAAGTCAAAAAAACACATCACATTAATAAATGTATGCACAAAGGATTCCATTTTCCTAGAGCACAACTAGAGAACAGGGGATTTTTAGAAGTGGCACCACTTTTTCAAACACTTGCTTATAGGCATTAGGCTGAAAAAGGTAAACTAATGTCTCAAGCAATTCCTTAAAGTCTTAGGTAGCTTATATCCTGGCGTATCTCATTCACTTTCACCTATGAACAGTACTCAGCCCATTTATACACTCATTAGCTCATTCTTGTATTTGTTCATTCTCCATTCATCATTCATTCACAAATCTTTGCTGCATGCTTGTTATGCATTAGATGGTGGGAAAAAACATTCTTTAAACCATTCTCATACCCACAACCTGGAATTCACTGTCTAAGTGAAACATAAATTTAAACAACATATGGTATAAATAATACTATAGCCATGACAGGATGTGATAGGTGATGTATAATCAGAGTGTCTGGAGAAGGTTAATTCATTCTGCCTAGGGACATCAGAAAAGACTCTATACTTATGAATGGATGATATTTGGATGTCTTTAGTGTCCTGAGTAGATTGTGTGAAACTTTTGAGAACTGCTACTTTCTGCCATTAGCATGAACTGGGTGCTGGAAACTGCAGTGTGCATTGATGTCACTTGGACGTAAGCTTCTAATCTTCAGTTCCTAATGGCTATTATGCTCTTTACTTTCCCATCATCTCCCCAGGTTTTGGAATAATTCACCAAATTTCTTTGTAGTATCTTTCCTGATGCCATTATAAGCCACTGGGTCAGTGTGTAGCAGTTTTAAGCTGCTCAGTTAATGGCTTATAATGGCTTCTTTCTACTTAATAGTCTCTTAAGCACCTCTAGTCTACTTTCTAACTGACTTATGTTAGAGTGCAAGAGGACTTGGGGGTTTGTTAGTGGGCCCATTAGCTCTGAGGTGTTTGAACAGCTTCCCTTCATTTGAATGAGCACTGGCTCACAAAACTGAAAAAATCTCATGTAGCACTTAATTTGGTTCTAGGTGGCCATTCCCACCTTTGTCTGGGTTGATTATCTAAGGCCCTGGTCACCGCTGAGCCTCAGTGCCCCAGTGATGTAGACTCCAGATCCTTCAAATTATGGTGGTATCTAGCCCAGACTCCTTAGTAATCCAGAGAGGAGAAGGCTGAGGCCATTGCTCCTCTTTGGACTGGAAGGTGAATGCTCTTAGGTGGAAAAAGGGGTAAGATGTAGAATTAAGGAGCTCTAAGATGATACCATGAAGATCACCTCATGCAACCTCTTCAGGAAACCAAGGCTCAGCAAGGTCTGGTGACTTATCCAGATACTACTACTCCGCTGGTTATGTATTGCTGCAAAGCAAACCACCTCAACACCTAGTGACTTAACTCTTCTATTACATGTTATGATTTTGAGGGTCAGAAATTCAGGCATGGTTCAATAGGGCAATTCTTCTGCTTCTTATGATGCCATACAGCGATACTTGTCTGGAGAGTTCAGTCTAGCTTTGCTCACATGCCTGGCACATGGAATGGCTGAAGGGCTGGGTTCAGCTGGGTTGGTCAGCCAGCATGCCTACATAGTAGTCTTGGGTTAGGCACATTTCCCACATGGTGGCTGGCTCTTCCCAGAGAAAGCATCCCAGGAGAACAGAAAAGCTGAGTGGCATTTTTGTGACTTAGCCTTGGAAGTCATGCAGCATCACGTCTGCTGCATTGTGTTAGTTCTATGTAGGTCATAAGGCCTGCCCAGAATCAAAGAGAGGGGAGTTAGACTGCACACTCTGATGGGGGAGTGGCAAAGTTGTACTGTAGAAAAGCATGTGGACAGTGGACATGGTGGTAGCCATCTTTGGAAAATGTAATTTGCCACAGTATTTTTGTGATAGAATCAGATAATACAATTATTTCATGTCACAGCAAGAAAAATAGTTCCCAGAGTTTATCAGGGAGAATGTCCTTCTTGCTTTTAGCATTACCTACATAACCTACATGTTAGCAGTTAAATTTATCTATTAATTGAGAAAATGTATCATGACTAAAAGCCACTAAGATAAATAAAGGTCTTAATTTTTTAATTGTGTTAATTAGTATCATGAGAGCAACTAATTTCTACATATACTTGAAAGTTTTCAGTATGAATATGTGGGGAAAATATGCTGTATCCAACTCAGACAATGTTTATAGGTCATCTGGATCCCCAGGTCCCTGTAATACTCTGGTAACCTTCTGATACCCAAATGCATCAGGTAGAAAGCCTCTGATCTAATGTCATTGTTCTCATCTGTAAAAGAGGAGATGTGAAATGACTTACCCAAGGCTATACACACATACACACACACACACACACACACACACACACACACACACACACACAGTCACTGACAGAGAGGGATTCAATCAGGTTGCCTATCTAAAATCCAAATTTTTCTTCAGGACTTAGGGCAAATGAATATAAGTTGAATTGGTCTCTAGATGTGGAGAACTTGGTATTTCAGGGAAATAGGGAGGAGGGAGGTGAAGGTATGCTGTAGGCAGCTGTCCTCAAAGTGTGGTTCAAGGTCCCAAGACCGTTTCAGGGGAATGCATGAGGTCAAAACTGTTTTCATAATAATACTAAGGTATTTTCATTCTTCACTCTCATTCATTCACATGTGTACAATGGTTTTTTGGAAGTGGCATGATGTCTAATATCACAACAGATTGAATGCAAAAACAGATATGAGAATCCTATTGCCTTCTATTAAGCCATTAAGTCATTAAACTGATTTGCAAAAATGTAAAATAATGCCACTTTTCTATTTTTTAAATTTGGAAAATGCAGTTGTTTTCCACTAAAATGCTATTTTTGTTATGATGTACTGGGTTTATTTTTATTATTTTTAAAATGATGCAACAAATGAATATTTTTTAAATTTCAGTTTTAGTTTATAATAGGATAAATGCCAATAGATATAATCCACATTAACAAAAGCTCCTTGAGGTCCTCAATAATTTTTAAGAATGTAAAGGGGTTTTAAGACCAAAGAGTGTGAGAACTGCTATTGTAGGTATACCAGTGAGCATGAAGTACTTTGCAAATCACAATGACAGAGAAATTCCCCCTTTTCTTTTGATAGAAATAGTCACTTAACTTGCATTTCCAGCGAATCAGCAGCCATCTACCTAAGATCGAAATTCAGAGTCCTTGAAATCTGAGAGGTAGTCTTCAATGACAGCCACACATAAAATAGATTAGGTTTGCAAGAAATAACTTATTTATCTAACGTTAATGCAATTCACTTAATGGAGAGGTAGGTGTTCTAATTTCTAAAGTACATTTAGTACATTAGCAGCTAGTTGGCAATTAATCTAATAAGTAAGTAGAGATAGGAATGTAATCACTTTAGAACATTCAAGCCAACAAAGAGTATTCTTTCTCTTTTTCCTCAGAAAGTATTCATGTTGGTATGCTGGAACTAATTCTCTCACTACTGATCCCCACATCTGTAGCAGTACTCATTATAAACTCCATTTTTAGCGTTCCCGAGATGCTAGATTGATGGGTTGCTGAATAAATAAACACATATGTCTCTAAAGCAGAGGTTGGCAAACTTTTTCTATAAAGGACCAGATGATAAATATTTTAGACTTTGCAGGCCACATAGTCTCTGTCCCAACTACTCAGCTCTGCTTCTGAAGCATGGACACAGCCATAGACAATACGTAAATGAATATGTCAGCCTTCCAGTAAAACTTTATTTACAAAAACAAGCTGTGGGCCAGATTTAGGCACACACCATAGTTTGCCAACCCCTGTTCTAAAGCAACATTAAATCTCTACCTCCTGGGCTGCGATTTTACTATGTTCAAGTATGCTGCCTGAAAACTAACCTAGCCTGAGTTGATGACAGCAAGTTATAATTAATGAGCATCTATTATATACCAAGTGTCAGGTATCTAACCTACATTATCTCCAAAACTCAAAAACATATTCCTAAAGATGGATGTTATTATTTACATTTTACAGATGAAGCATAATAAGGTTAAATAGTTTGTCCAAAGTCACAGTGATAGAAAGTTATAGAGTTTGGGTATGGCCCCAAATCTTTCAGATACTCTTTTCTTATTCCAATATTCCATTTTCAAGATCGCTGTCATAGAAATGCACTGCTTCTTTTTCTATTCCAGACCTCAGTGGATTGCTTATTGCCTTCTTGCCTGACAAAATGTCTTTCATATTGGACCAAAAGGGCTGGGCGATATAGCCTCCAAGTTATTAAAAATTCTACCAGAGCAAAACCTCAGTAAAATGCCTATATCATTAACCTTGCTTGCACTGAGCTGTCCCAAGGGCCATCTTAATGCTGATGGTCAAGCAAAAAAAAAAAAAAAAAAAAAAAAAAAAAAAAAAAAAAAAGCCAAAAATTCCACATTGTGTCATGTAACCATACAATTAATCCCAGAGTTGTTGTTTTTAAGTTACAAATTTCTGAGTGTACATTTACGATATTTTTGAGCTGCTTATGAATTGTTTTATTTCTAGGAATCAGAGGACTCCTTAGTGGTAATCATCCCTGATAGTCATGTAGTCCTTTACAAAGTGTCCTCATACACTGTGTCTGTTATTGATAATAATTGTGGCAGCAACACTTTTTGAGTACTTATTGCCAGGTGCTGGACTCAACATATCACGTGGATCAGTGATTCCCACAGTGGTAGGAGGCAAAATGTGACATCCTTTCCATTTACCAACCAGAAAACTGAGCCTTAAGGAAACTTAAATATCTTGCCCCAGATCATGGAGATTGTATATAGTGGAGTCAGGATTTGAAAGCAGTACTCAAGATAGTGTGCCCATAGTAGATTCTCAATTACATGAAGGCATAGATGGCATCTGATCTTTCCTTCCTTGATTTATACTTTGTCCTGACAACATCTCTGTGCTAACCCTATAAATAGTATTTTATTTTATTTTTAAATGTTTATTTTTGTGTGAGAGAGAGAGAGAGAGAGAGAGCATGAGCCGGGGAGAGTCAGAGAGAGGGGGACAGAGGATCTGAAACGGACTCCGTGCCGACAACAATAAGCCCAATGTGGGGCTGCACTCCTGAGTTTCGAGATCCTGAGTCACACTGAAGTCCAACGCTCAACTGACTGAGCCGGCCAAGTGCCCCACCCTAAATAGTGTTTTAAAGGAATGTAAAATAAAATAGAAAAACTGTTGTGATATACTACCAAGAGAAAAAAAGATGTTAAAGTGTATGGAAAGTATGATTACAAATATATTTTTAAAAGAAAGAAAAGAAAATTATGTCTAGATTCTAGAAAAATATTTACCAGAATGTTGATAGTTGTGGAATTATGGATATGAGTATTGGCTGCGTTTTTCCTTCTTTTTTTTCTTACTTTCTATTTTTAAATAAAAATAACAAAAGTTTAAAATATCAATGAAAGAAAAAAGAAAAATGACTGATAAAATTCCTTCAGTGTGATCAGCAATTTTTAAGTACAATTCACCGGCATGTTCCCTGAGGGAGCAACAATCTATTTAAGGAAACAAAGCCGAAACTCCAAGAGAGGAATCCAAGGGCATCTAGGAACAAGCTAATGTGGCTCACATCCATTATGAAAGGGAGGTAAGGGAGGTTCCAATTTTTTAAGATGAGTGTTAAAAATAAGTGGGGAGGGGAGAAATGTGAATGTCTTGAGTAAAAGAGGTAGAGATAGGAATTGACTACCAGTTTGGGAGGGAAAGGGGCCATTTTGGTGGATAGACACAGTTTGCAGGACAGATTTATTGGCAAAAACAGCCATTGTGGGTTCTTAACAAATGAAGGTTGTGGTAATTTGGTACCTTCAAAAATAGAATAGGAAGGTATACACCAGATTCCAACTGTGGTTGGATGGTGTTTAGTTTCAGGCTGGGGCAGGAAGACCACAGGGGGAAGATAAATAGTCCTATCTCTCATCTTTTCTCTTTCTAAGAGGTCCTACAAGGTTTCTAGTTTTTAGGCTGATATTGTTTATTATAGAGCCCGTCATATTGTTTTCCTGCTCAAGATGTGACATTGGCTCCCAACTGCTTCCCAAGGTAGATGCAGAGTCTTTGGATGAGCATTTAAGACCCTTTACCTCGTGGAGCTGACTTTGTCAGCATTGTCTCAAACTCCTCTCCACATCCTTAGGCTGCAGTGGAATTAAGCTGCTTAGTGTGCCTCTCTGTTCACTCTTTCATACCTTCAATCATTCTGTTCCATCCCTAGAAATAACTTCCTCACAACCACATTTCCCAGTGAAAATCCATCAGCTCCCTCTTACCGCCAAACCAGATGGTACTTTTAAGGGTTGAACCCAAGTTTTATCCTTCCTTGTATATTAACATCAAGCACAAAGACTCTATGATCAGTATATTTCCTGAGAATATTTTGTTGAGCTGAAGACTAGGATGGGTTTAGGCTTCATTCTGTTTTGCTGCAGTCTAGAATTCGGTGGGGGTTGGGGGGTGGGGGGATCACTTGAGGAAATACATAATAAGAGTGTAGTGACTAAGGCTGTTGCTCAGATAGCCTCCTATTCTATACCAGTTGTTCATATCATTCATTCATTTATTTGTGTATTCATTCATACATTCCATAAACACTGTGTACCACTAAAGTCTAGACATTGTAAAATATGAGGAAATTGTAGAGATATAAAAGAAACAGATATAATTCCTCCTTTCTGAACATTCATGATCTATTGGGGTAGAAACTAAGTGTACAGGAAGGATATGGCTGTGTCTGCTTCTAGTAATGAAGTACCTGCTTGTTTTACATTATTCTCCCAATGAAAATGGCTAGAAACACTGGATAAGAACCAAGAGACATCTGTTTGAAGGTCCTAAGGCTGTCAGGTTTTGAGAAGCCAAAAATGGAAAGAGAAATCCGCTGAGGTGATTCACACATTCTATCCAGGTTTTCCACTCAAGGCAGTTCCTCAAGCCTGATTAATAAAACACCATGGGTAGAGATGCTAAGAAGCCTAGCAGAAAATAGATAGTGAGAAATAAGAAAGTAAGCAGAGGTCTTTGTAATCTCGTGGGCCTGGAGAAGCAAAACTGAAGTTCAGGGATACTAAGAGAGGGCCCAAGATTCAGAGATGCTTCAGAGAAACAGTCTGAATGTCTTATTCTCCCAAGACAACCACTAATTAGCAAAGCAGCATAAAGAGAAACTGAACAAAAAGCTAGAGCCAAGAGACTATGGAGATAAACAGAGCCTTGGAGAGTCTCACAAAAATTAACACTGAGGGCTTGTCAAGGAACATCAGCCCTTATAAACACAAAACCTTTCAGTTGGAGCCCTTTAAGGACTATTTTCAAAGAATAAGTGAATCAAAAATATATTGCACCTATAAAGATTTTTGAAGAAACTTACCTCTAAATAGCTCAACCTTAATTGGAGTCAGGTGACTGCTCCCATTCTAACTGCTTGCCAGACTCTTGCTAAAGACTCATCTACGGGCAGCTGGGTGGCTCAGTCAGTTAAGCTTCCGACCTCAGCTCAGGTCACCATCTTGCCGTTCATGAGTTCGTGCCCCATGTCGGGCTCTGTGCTGACAGCTCAGAGCCTGGAGCCTGCTTCAGATTCTGTGTTTCTGTCCCTCTCCCGCTCTGTCTCTCTCTCTCTCTGGCTCAAAAATAAATAAAACATTAAAAAAAAGACTCATCTGAGTCTTTATAATCTTTATTTACACAGTATCTGCTACACAAGAGGCAGAACAAAGAAACAGATAATAAAAATATATCGAAAGTTGATCTAAATATCATAATCATCAGACATAGGCTTTAACAATGACTCTAATTAATATGTTTAAGGAAACAGAACGTTGCTTTTCAAAAAACTGGCATTTGAATTGATCTTTGAAGAATACTTCGGATTTCAGTTAACCAAGATTGTACTTCTCCAAGGACTTGGAGTCAGATGCAAGTCATTCTAGCCAAGGGTGGATCACAGAGATGAAGAACAAAGCAGGGAAGGGTCAAATCCAGCAGTATTTGATCCAGGGAAGGACCAAATGTGTGTAGGTGGGGAATAACTAATTTTTGTCTATTTCAGGATTTCTTCAGTAAATCTGACCCATTTCTGGAAATTTTTCGTATGAATGATGATGCAACCCAGCAGCTTGTACACCGAACTGAGGTGAGAAGAGTTATCTTCAGCTGTGCCATCTCAGCTCCTAAGATAATAAATTGACCTGTTTTGAGAAACCCCTTATGTTTCTTAAAGTCTATAGTTGTGCACTCAGACCTGGAGCCTTCACTGTCCTTAAGAGGACTCTCTGTCTTTTGTAGCTTTTTAAATTCTCAATTTAGATGTTAGAAGACCCTCTCTCACCCAAATTTTCCATTGTTGATCTTCAATACAGACTGTCAGCAACATATTAATGAGAATATGAATATTAGGTAACATTTAATGTGTATGATTAGGTGCCAAGCATTGTACTAAGTGATTTGTATGCATTACTTTATTTACTTCTCATAACAATCCCTTGACATGATTATTATTACCCCCATTTTATAGTTCATTAACTGAACCTTTGGGAAGGCCAGTGACTTTCCAAATTCTCATAGTTAGTGAGGGGTAGAGCAGAGGTTTGAATTGAGTTTGTTTGGACTGAGCTTCATGATAATTTGAGAAGCGCATCTGCTTCCCCAGCAAAAGTTCATCCACTGGGCTGATGTCAGGCCTATTATGTGAACGGCTGTTCTGTCCCAGCTGCCGCTTGGTCTAGCCGCAGCTCCTTCTCAAGCTCCCTTGTCTTTCTCTCCGGGGCTCCAAACCTTATCTCTTATTAACCCACCACCCAGTGCGACACACCCACTCAACAACCAACCCCAGTCTCCACTTTTCATTTTGTTTACAAGCTGGTCAAGAGAGAGTCTGTGGGGATGAGAAGTACATTGATAAGGAGGAAGTGGGATGATTGTGATAAATGAAAGAGCTGAGAGAAGACTATTGTGTATATATTCATATATATATATTC